TTATAGGAAAAATCCAGAAGATGCAAATTTATAGAGGCCAAAAGTAGATTATTACTTTTTGGCTAGGGGAAGGGAGGATAGGGAATGGCTGCTGTTGTGTGCAGGACTTTTTCCATTTTCTTTCAGAAAATGTTCTGAAATCAGATCGTGGTGATGGTTGCACAGCCCTGTGAATATACTGAAAACCACTGAGTTGTATGCTTACGGTGGGTGAATGGTCTTGGCGTTTCTGCTGAGCGTTCCCTCTCCAGAGGAAGGGAGGTGTTGGTCTGGGATGAAGGAGAAGGGGAGCAGGAAGAGGGGGAATTGTAGGGCTGGACTTCACAGTATCCTCCTGCCTCAAATTGGATAGACAGGCAGAGAGACAGGCAGATGGATGTGGACTGGCCAACTTTAAGGCCGGAAGTATCTGGGCTTGGTTTTGGCCAGCAGCGATGTGCCCTGGTCTGGAATCTCCTGGAAACAACTCTACCCAGGGCTTGGCAACCTGCATGAGGCAGCTGGCTGTGTTGAGAGCTGCCACCCTCCTGTGGGTAAGATTTAAGGATGTAGCTGTAGAGTCGTTTCTCTGAGTTGGCTTAACCATTTGTGAGCAGGGTGCACCAGCTCTCTGGGCATCAGTTTCCTCGTCTGTGCACTGAGCATAATTGTGTACAATAATTCCACACTTGCCTCATGGGCTTCTTGTGAAGATCCAGCATGATTCTGCACAAAACATGCTTAACAGAGTGCCTGATACATAGTAAACACTCAATAAGTGTTAGACCTTCTTCTCTTTTCTCGAAGGTGTCTTCACATAAACCTCAACTTCCCTGGCACCGGAAGGCGAGTAATGACTGTGCACCTTCCCACCACCCTGAGAGTCTTGGTTTGAGCTGGCCACAGGGTGCATGCTGTGGGGGATGCTACTTTTGCAGAAAAGCTGAGGGAAACCACCAGGCTCTGCTGGTGAATAAGCTGTAACAGTGGGTCGAGGCTTATCTCTCCACGCATCTTCTCAGGCAGCTGACTGTCTCCAGATTGTGTTCTGAAACCATTGCTAACCACCAACATCTGTCCTTGCTGTGATCCCCATGTGGGGTGAGCGTGGCTGAGGGGGCGGCTTCGGATGCTGTAGGCTGTCAGCCACGTGGTGTAAGGCAACAGCTCCGTGTCGGAGGCCAGTCATTCAGAAAACCCAGGTGGAGGACAGGAGAGGAGAAGGTGTGCTGCCGTGACTTAAGATGTCATGTGGTGGGCCGTCTGGGGAACCACAGAAGCCTCTGTCCCTCCTGGAGATGCCCAGCACAGCCCACAGAGACCCCTGGGAGACAGAGCGAGCCCCTCTTCTTGTAAGTGGGGCCAGGGCTAAAGAAACGCCCACGAATCCCTTATCTCAATTCTGAAACTCACACAGCTCTGAAAGCCCAAGATTTGGTGAGACTCATTTGGCTGCCAAACCTGACTACCTTGTGAGATTGCTCCTGCGTTTTGTTGCAGAATATTAATGTGTTTAATTATGGAATCCTGCCCCAGGCCCTGCTGTGGATGTTGTGTAATATATGGCATATGAACGGTGTGTTCTCTTTCCAAAAGGCTGAGCAGTTTGAATTCTGAAAACTCTCTAGCCCCCAGGTTTGGGGATAAAGGAGTGTTGACATGTGTTGTCATAAATCTATTTTACTGTCAGGTTGTAGTCAGAGGAAACACAACGCACACACTTGATATACACAGAATGAGAAAAGAGCAGACTGGGAAGGGCGAAGACTTTGGAATCGGAGACAGCTGGGGTTGGATCTCTAACGCTCACCAGCTGTGGGGCCTTAGAAAGGTCATTTAACCTTTCTGAGCCTTCATTTCCTTATCTGTAAAACAGAGATAATAATACCAACCTCCCACAGTTTATTAGGGGATTAAATGAGATAAAGTAGGCTTAGTACCTACAGAGTAAGGGCTGAATAATTGCAGGATTAATATTAATAAATAATAATAGATACGTTATTTGATAGACATTTTTCTCAGCGCCTTGTCCGGAGAAATCCACAGACGAGGGAGGGAGCTGGTACCACAGCCTGGCCCAGATGCTCAGCGCACTGTGCAGGGCCGGCCTCCAGCCCCGGGAACTGTCCGTGAAGAGGGAGGGCACTGAGGACACTTAGTGGTCAGACTTCGCGTCTCAGAAAATAGTATAGAAACGTTAATAGCTGGAGCAGGGATTCTCATACCCACTGTTACTGGAGATCCCGAGAAGACCTCCCGTGACAGGACCTACGCCCCACCCTCACCCGCCTGCCACGTGATGTTTTCACTTCTCTTGGGAAGCAGGTGGGTCAGCAGACTGTGACTGTTTGTTTGTCTGAAGGTCTGTGCCCCCTGCACAATGCCTGATGGACTCCAGCACTGAGGAAGGATGTTTAAACCAGTGGTCCCCTTCTGAAGCCTCTGGACCCAGACATCCCACTTGTGATCCTTTGATACACATGTCACTGTAAATTGTCACTGAGCATCTTGTCTCTTTCTCTCCACACTAAGACTAAAAAATTACGGCCAGATGTCTCCATGGGCCCACCATTTCTGCACCCAAGAAGTTAATAAAACACTCCCCTGACTTGGATCCCCTTTGCTAAAACCTCTTCACCTCCCTATGCAGGAGGATCTTGGCTGCAGCCCGAGGGTGAAACTCGTGCCTCTGCCATCCAGGTACTGCGCTGCCCAGGTCATCACAGAACCTCACCTCTGGCCAAGGGCTGTTTGCTGCACAGGTCACATCAGACATTGCTTGACATTGTAATTCATAGAAGATAAACTGAGCAAATCCCTTTGAGGAATCTGGTCTCTTGGTGCTCTGAACTTTGTGTATTATTGAGATCAAAAGTACCAAAGGATATTCTAGCTTCATAGGGAGGAAAAGCAATTTTAGTTTTACCAGTACCTAGGAAAAGACCATCCTTGGTAAATTCCTCTAAGCTTTTCCCAAGCTGCCAAGCTTTCAAGTAGGGAGAGGGCCATTCTGATCGTCAGATGTCCCTGACCCCAAGACTGTCACCTTAACTCTGCCTCCACCCTACTCATCACACAGAGCCAGGGAGGCCAAGCAGGATGGTTGCTGGGAGGCTGCTCAGTCAATATTTATAGAGCACCTAGACTGGTACAGGAATGGTGTAGGCCCAGGATAGGCATTTGGTTCACAACAGGGAACAAAACAAAGTTCTCTGCCCTCAGGGAGCTGGTATTTGAGCAGGGAGAAACAGTAAACAACAAACATGATAAATTAATAAGTGGAAGGGCATCTAAGAAGGTGACAAGTACTGGGGAACAGAAGCCAGAATCAGGAATACTGGAGTTGGGGGCAGGTTGAGTATTAAGACGAGATAGGTAGTTTAATAGTCAGGGTTTCCTAGAGAAATAAAACCAATAGGATGGATAGACAGATTTATTATAAGTTATTGGACACGCATGCAATTATGGAGGCTGAGAAGTTACTATCTTCTGTCTCTGAGCTGGAAGCCCAGCAAAGCCAGTGGTGTAGTTCTTCTAATCCAACCTCAAAGGCCTGAGAACCAGGGGAGCTGGTGGTGTAAGTCCCAGTTTGGGGATGGGAGACCCATGTCCCAGCGCAAGCTATCAGGCAGAGAGCCAGTAATTCTTACTCTGCCTTTTTGTTCTTTTCAGGCCCTCAGTGGATTGGGTGAGGCCCACCCACACTGGGCCGGCATCTGCTTTATCCAGTCCACCTGTTCAGATGCTAATCTCATCCAGAAACACCTCCACAGACACACTCAGAATAACATTTGGTCAGATATCAGGCACCCTGGGGCCTGGGCAAGTTGACACACATTTACTGTCACTGATCACTACAGCCACACTGTTGAGACAGGAAAATGGGGCACAAGAGGATGGCGGTGTCCCAGGTCTCAGTTGAGTCCCTGGGAACTGCCCTGCCACGTGAGAGTCCTTGGCTTTGAGCAGGAAAGAATTCAAGAGCCAGGCATAGTAGAGTGGAGATAGATTTATTCAGAGATACACAGTCCTTAGACAGAGTGTGGTCGATCTCACTCAGGAGGGAGAGTGGCCATGGCGTGTCAGGTTGTTAGTTTTTATGGGCTTGGTTATTTCATTATGCTAACAAGTGGGAGGATTATTCCAGCTACTCTAGGGAAGGGGCAGGGATTCCCAGGAATTGGGCCCCACCCACCTTTGACCTTTTATGGTCAGTATTGGAACTGTCATGGCGCCTGTGGGAGTGCCATTCACCATGCTGATGTATTACAATGAAGCTCAAGGTCTGCTTGGAGTTGAACCTCCTGCCATCGTGGTGCTAATTGCTGTGTCATTCGTTTACTGGTTGTGCCCTGCCCCCTTCCCTCCTGTCTCCCTGTGGCAGCCAGACAGCCTAGTTCAGGAATTCCCTGGGTGTACACCCGTGAGGCTCTGCATCCCAGGCACAAGGTGGTGCTAGCTGAGGGTCTTCCAAGGGAATCGATGACTGTATTGATCCCAGGATTTCTCTGCTTTCTGCTCTGACCCAGAGGGTCTGCTCCATGATCTTCTCCTGATTCAGCGAGTTCAAGCACTTTGCTCTCTTATATACAAACATGCCCACGTTCTTGAGTGTCTCTCATCTGGACTTAACCAGCTGCTGCCTTCACCCATTTCAGGTAGTTGGTTTCTCAGGACCCTAAATGCCTTGGTGATGCTCTGAGCCTCCCTCCACCAGCACCCGGAGGTGGGGCACCTCTGGCCTGCCTTTGGCCTCCCCTACAACAGCCCTCAGACTGTCCACACACACCCCCTTCATAACAGCCCCAGACACAGTTCATGAGGCTTCCAGTCTGTGTTCAGGGTAACGAATCCTGTTATTACAGGAGTATTTGACCCATCAGCCCATTGACAGAGTTGTAGCTTTCTTTTTTCTGAGCATCAAAGAACAAATAAGTACCAGAGACCAGATTGAGATTTTTCCGTATCTATTTATTCCAAAATAAAGACATAAATTTTTAAACAAATTATTACAACTAATTTTGCTTTAGCATGGCTTATTTGATTTTTTTAATTGCAACAACTTAAACAGGAAGCTTTTAAAATTCAATAAATAGAATAAATAGTATGTCATCTTCACACTCTGCCTCTCATCCTTTCTTTCTGGAAACTTTCCAGGAGACTCTTCAGGAATGTCAGTGTATTGCCTGCTATGGTTTGGTTGCATGGCTGTTCACAGGAAAAAGACTGTGGGGACAAAGTTAACAAAGGCAGAGTGACTAAAACAGCACGGAAACCAGCAGCCCCAGGAGCCACCCTACCCAGAGCCTGGTAAGTGGGGGAGGGGGTGGGAGAGACAAGCATGGGGGAAGGGAATGGGTGGAACTAATGGATAGGGAGTCCAGGGCTAGCATTTTGTGTAGGCGGTGTAGGTGGTTGACTTTGTGGTAGGATTTCAGGGGTCTGCTTCACACACACGCACACGTGCGCGCGCACACACACACACCCTTATCATATGGTTCTAAATTTCTTCATTAGAGGAAATCTTCTTGGGATTCTTTCAGGCCTAAATTTTATTATTATCCTTTTTAATTGTCTTTCCAAGGTCATTTTATAACACAATGGCTAAGGGCAGGACTTTGAGATCACATAGACCAGAGTTCAAATCTCAGCACTGCCACTTACTAAATATATAGCCTTTGGCAAATTAGTTAACCTTACTGAGCCTCAGCTTCCCCTGCTACAAAGTGAGGGTGGTTAAGTCTGACAATTATCTTTAAGGTAGGTATTCAATGAAGCAGGATGTATTAAGCCCTTAGAACCAAATGCTGTTGAGGGCAGAAACTCCTGCAATCAAATAGCTGAGTGAGGAGGGGCCCTCCTGTGGCGACATTAATGAGAAAAAGTTTGCCCCGCTCCCCTTTCCTCCAGCGACTAGGTGTACACTGAAGAAGTGCTGATAGGCATTTAGGGCAAATGACAAGCTTCCACCTGGCTGTGAGTGTGTCTTCCTTCAAACACCTCCTTAGCCAGTGGAATGAAAACCTTTAACTTACAGGCCACAACATCCACTCAGGTAGCAAATTGAATCTCTAGAATAATTTAGAATGGCATGGGCTATCGCCCTGATTTTCTAGATTTTAGCTTCTGATTACAATGAGGATGGATTCTTTCATTACTCAAGAGATGGAGAGAAGTAAAAGCCAATATAGGGGTGAGTGTTTTTTTAAATAAGAGGGAACAGTGAGTTCCCTGGGCAGATCTCACTTTAATTCGATTGGTCTGATTAATTCTTAGATGGCCCTTATCAACCTTAAACTACCAGTTCCAACTTTATTGTCCCTTGTCATTCAGATGGAGTTGGCATTGACATTCACGTGAAAATAACCAACCAGAGCACATCACAGGTAAAAACACTCACGCCACACTTGTTGTTCTTGAGGGCTTCAACCGTTTTCTTCACCCTATTGAAAATCAGGGGGAATCTTGTTTTCAGTGTTGTGTTGGCCATCTGTGTCAGACCCTCCTGGAAGCATGCCGTGGTGCAGTTGTCCTGGTAAATAACAAGGATTTAGGAAAGGAAACGGGGCAGTTTTGAGTAGGAATCACAGAGACAATGTTTTTAGAGACTGTTTTAACTTAACCAATGTAACCTAAACTTGCATTATTTTTAGTCAGGCCCCTTGCTGGCAGAGTAAATGATCTTCAGTATTTCAAGGTGAGGCCATTTTTCCACAGTGACACTCCCTGAAGATTTCCAGTTTGTTCCATCCAGGGAACATGAGGCCTGAGGACCCCGGAAAACAGCCAGTCCTGAGTCTGCTTTTCAAAGGACCTGTTCCAAGTCTTGTCATAGTGAGTTTGAAAGTACAGAGAAAGGAAAAGCCTTTTCACATCAGCCTGTTGGGATGTGCCAGTTGAATACAGCCAGTGTTTCAGCGGTAGCTCAAATCATGGGATATAAATAAGGGGAGAGGCTGGGCTGTTAATGTGTGGTCCCTCCTCAGAGGGCGCCATACACTATTCTCATCTAATGGATGGACCGTGATTGGGTGTGACATTTGACCTCAGCTGGGGGAAGAGGCTCAGATTCTCCCAAGTCTTGCTTGTAAGAGAGTAAAGCAGAATAGCACCTTGGTAAGGGCTGCCTCCTCCCCTTGACCAGGAAACTCCTGCCACACTTCCCCTCTGCCCCTCTGGGAATACCCCCCCCCATGAAACCCTTTTTACTTCCCCGCCACCCACAGCCTCAGACACCCTGTCCCCGCCAAGGGGACAGCATTCAAACCTTGCAATAGCCACTCTAAATCAGCCAAATAGAAAGGAGGGAAAAGGCACCGCACAGAGACAGTTAAGGCCGAAAGAAGGACAAAGGGTGGTCATTTTATTTACATTGTTTTGCAACCCTAGAGTTACCAGCAAATGAATTAGCAATGTGATATGAGCCCCAATTTGAATTAATTGTGCACATGGCCACTAATCTAAAAATACATTCAATATTCTTTTTTAAATGGTGAAAAGTGTTTAAACTTCTCAAGGAGACCAGATACAAAGAAATGTATATAGTATGGAATTTTAAGATTTCAAAGGTTTTAAAAGGATATACTAATCTGCGACGATTGCCATTAAGTCACACTTTCTTATTTAAAATATCAATTAGAGCAATTAATTTTTTCCTAAAAACTTAGAAAAAAACCCCACAAGATCAAGATGATTTTCTTTTACTATACTTACAGAAGGAATGGGCAGACACAAACAGTCAGTCACCTGCAAAAGAGAAGTTTCAGAGTGAAGATTCCAGATGTGAAAATTAAAATTGGTTTGGAAAGTTCTTAAAAGAGCATATACTCACGTTGCTGCTGCAGCTGCATTTTGAAGGTGGATGTTTCTAAAGTAAGTAAAGAGACAAGAACCCATAATGAGTGGTGTGTTTTCCACCCTCTTATGTTTCACTTAAATTTTCAACAGCTGCCTTTCCCGCTGGCGCCCCCCTCTGCAGCTTACCTGCAGGTTGTTGATGAGGTACTCAGCATCCTTGATCCCAGTCAAGGTCAAACACCTCTGGCTGGCCACAGAGCAGAGGAGCAGGGCCGAGGCAAGGACCACAGACAGGAGCATCTTGACTCGAGACTGGAGCTTGGTCTTCAGATGCCTTCAAATTGAGTCGTATTTAAAGCTCTCCAACAAACATGGAAAAACCCTGACATCAAACTGATACCAATGCCCACTTTTTCTCTGTAAATTTGGGCTACCTGACATTGAAAAAAATGTATATGTGTATGTATCTCAGACTGAGTCACTTGACAAAGACTGCATTACATTTTCACAGGAAGTATCATTCCTCAGAAAAGATGCTTTTCAAAAAGTTGGGTACCGAGATGCTATAGGAAAAGCTAGAGGTCTTAAAACCGTATTTTTTTTAAGGCAAAGATTCTGGTTGTGAGAGTGAAAATACTTTCCATGAAAGCCCAGATCTGTATTTTCCCCTTCTTACTTTATTGGAAATGCTGATATAGTAGCCAGTCACCGATATTCTAACGAAGTGGGGCAGGGAGGATGAGAAATAGTGCAGGATTGCTTTTGGTTTTTGCCAGCTCAGTCTCGTCCTTGCAACCTCAATCTTACTCCCAAATCTGAACTATGTCTTTGATGCCTGGGGCCAGATTCTCCACCTCATACAAATACATCTTTGAACAAGTGTCTAAAGGAGGAACTCTTCAGCTGTAAGCACAAGAATGCAACAACAGCACCTGTTAAAACTGGTCTGGAGATTCCTTAATGTCTTGAGGGAACTTACATAGCACTGGGCAACATTAAGTAAAAACTCTGTGCTTGAGATAGGGTAGTAGCTAACATTTATCGAGTGCTTACTACACATCATTGCAATTCTAAGCACTTTATATGAATAGAGCATGTAATCCATACAGCTGCCAAGTGAGGTATGTACTAATTTGTCATCCTCAATTTTTACTTTTTAAAACATTGTCTGTCTCTTAGCTTCCCAGTCCTTTGATGGGGCTGTTCTAATCACTGTGAGCCAGAAAGCAGTCTCACTGTAGCTCTATGACGTAAGTACTATAGTTATCCTCATTATTTTATAGATGGGGAAACTGAGGCACAGAGTGGTAAGTAATTTGCATAAAACCACACAACCAGGAAGTAACAAAATTTGTGTTCAAGCCCAGAAGTCTGACTCGTGGGTTCAGCCCTTAATCCTCTGGCTTTCCTGCTTCTCCGTGTGTTTTTTGTCTGCCTCTCCATCAGGACATATGCCCCCTGTGAGAAGAGTTCAGGTGCCTGAGGAACAGTGGGCTATACTAAATGTTTGTTGGGTCAAATCATTAATGCAAACAGTTTCTGAAGTAGTGAGAAAGGTGCACATAAACTGAGATTGTGTTAGGTTTCAAGTCTAGTTTCTAGGGTGCATATTTGAAAGTGTGTGTGCTTTGAGAAAATATGTCTTCTACATATGGGGAAGAGATGGGGATTCTTTTACTTGGTACTTTATGCCATAGGGGCCAATGGGAACAAACCCATAGGATTTCTCACCACTGCTGTGAGAGTGTGGGTGTTACTGCTTTTCTCGTTGCACGTTGTTCCTTAGGAGTGGTGATGGATCACTGGTGTTTGGCTGAACTATGCAGAAGGGAAGTATCTTGGTGGCAAACAAGGTAAAAAGAAATTAGCTTTTTTGCTAAATTCACAGATCCTCCTGCAGCTATGACTTCCATGCCTGTCCTCTGCAGGTACTAAGAAGGTGCAAAGGCCTCCCAGCTTATAGCAAACACTTTTATTACAGAGTTCTGTATCTATGCCCTTTGCTCCTGCTAAGGTCTGCCTGGAATATTCTTCCTCAGCTCTTCCATTTGTGGCCCATTCTCATCCTTCAGGTTTCAACTCAAAAGCCACCTCCTCCATGAAGCCCACTCTGACTCTAGTAATCATTGCAATCTGCAGGATTCTGTCATAGCGTCTGTTCCTCCTACTGGAACATAAGTTCCATGAGAGCTGATGCAATGACTGACTCTTGTTCATCTTTGTATTCCCAGAGCACGGTCTGTATATTAAGTGCTCAGCAGTTACCAGTGCAATGAATGAATGACGAATAAATTTAATTTTGTAAAAACTTATTAAATTTATATTATTTATGAAATGACCCGTACATGTTCCCAGTGGATCAGTAACCAAAAAAAAAAAAGAGACGGGAATAACATTTAAAAACCTGAGCCAAGAAAGTTTTTGAGTGATTCAGCAGTTAATGAAACAAATCCTCCTGTTCTGTAGTCTCCTGAGAAATCTAAAGTGAGTCTCTCTCTCTCCTCTGTTTCAATTCTCATTGAACTGCTTGAGGGAGGCACATTAGGTGTGGGAACTCGAGCTCTGTAAAGGATGAAATAGAGAGAAAGAGAGAACTAGGTAAGTATTCTTTACAGCTTTTTCCCATCTCCCCACCCCCTCTGTTATAAAAAAGGAAAGAGTATTGAAATGGTAGCTCAGCAGTTCAAAACAGAATTAAGATAGCAGATGTTTATCTACGCAAAGTCTAAAACTTTTGACGTTTAGCTTCTAGGATTTCTTTCCATATCAAAATGTAAGTATGCAAATAATCTCTTACAGAGGAAATACACCAAGCTCAGAAATTAATTACTCACCTATTTCAAATTTCAAGGAGATTGAAGAGTAAGATGCTTACCAAGATTTAGCATAGATAACATATTTTACAATAAATGACAAATGACAATACTCAACCATTTATTTTGCTCTAAAGATAAAGTCTGACATTTTTATTTTGTGATAAAAAACCATGTGTCATGGATTATTTCTCTAGGAATAAAACAAAAGTGTTATTTGTTCTAGGAAGCCACAGCACAATATGACACACCCCAAAAAAGGCACTAAACTTCTAAGTAAAACCCACTCTACCTTTTTCTGTAAACAGCCTAGAGATAACTTGTTATGAGAATCTTCAAGCACTAATTTCTTAATCAAATAGTTATTTCTAGGTTAGTATTTCCCAATCAAATGTGATGGGCAAACCCCACTGGAGGTGCTGCCATCCCTGTAGTGGCTTCTCCCCCAAGGAGGTGAGTTCTAGCTGGTGCCCTGCACCCCTCCCCTTGCATCCCTCCTAAGCGAATTCTGGGTCCCAAGAACATAGGGCCTGCTGCTGGCAGATTGGCTTCTATGCAGTTTCCAGAGCTCCAGGACCTAGGACCCTCTCCTTCCTTCCCTCTCCGCTCCTCCTCCTCCTCCTCACTGTCGGTGAGTAAGAATCCAAGCTATCCTTAAAAATGGAATTTTCACAGTCCATCATGACCTAAAACCTGTTCCTACATTTGATAGAGACTGTGGGGCCCCCTTTCCTGTGGCCAGTTTATTGGTGTCCATCTAATTAAGAAAGGATAGGGACTTCTGTTCTGAAGCACACTGAGGAAGGCACTAGAATTTATTGAACCCTTACTATATACATGGTAACATATTAAGCACTTGATGTATATGATCTGACTCAAGCCTCTCAACCATCTATATTAGCCCCGTTTTATAGATGTGGAAATTGACGCTCAGAGAGGCTGAGAGTCACCGTAGTCACAGCTGGCAACTTGAACTGAACGTATCTGACCCAAGGCCGGTGCTCCTATCTGCTGTACCATACATCAGTCTCCATTTCTGGGGACCCAACTATATGGCCTATATTCCAAGATCACTTAATACAATCAGAAAATCAAAGTTGGCTTTGGGGCTGGAGGAGGGAGATTCTGGATGTCAGCTGCATTGGTTTCCCAGTGCTGCCATAACAAAGTACCACAAACTGGGTGACTTAAAGCAGCAGAAATTTATTCTCTCATGGTTCTAAAGGCCAAAGGTCTGAAATCAAGGTGTGGGCAGGGCTGGAAGCAGCCTGACCCCTGCAGAGGTGGCTGTTGGGAAGAGGTGGAGAAGAAGGCTAGGAGGTTAGAAGGGTTGGGCAGACCCTGTGTCATCAAGGATGCTCTGGCCACAAATGGCAGGAACCCCAGTTAACACTGGCTTAAACGATGAGGAAATTTGCCATCTCAGAGCAAATCTGTGGCGAGGGTGGTCTTCAGGGTTGGAGGACAAAGACTCAGGTGCCTCTGTCTCTCCGCTGGTTGGCTTTGTCCTCAGGGTGTGTCCCCTGGTGGCTGCAAGCCTCAGGTCCAGATCTCACATCCAGACATGATGATATAAACTCTAATCTGGAACTGAAGGTCCAGCATTTTTAATGCTTTCATTTTCAACACATACTACCAAACTGCCCTCCAGAAAGTTGTTCTGTGATAGAAGAGAGTAATTTATTATAATCTCATTAGTCAGGTTTAAGAATGCCAATTTCTGACACCCCTGCCAACACTGGATTTTTTATTAACTTTGGACAGTGTGCCTGGCACATAATAGATACTAATATATGTCAAATTAGTTATTACTCATTTGTGTTTCTTTATTTGTTTATTACCTGAATGTATCCAGTTTTCTGTTTCTGTTTTGCTTACTGGTTTCTAAGAGTTCCCTGTATATCTTTGTTTTTCCGATATAATGCATTTATTTTTCTCTATTTGTTCTGGTCGTAGTGTTTTTTTGGCTGTGTAGACATTTTCATGTGACAGATATAAAACACTTCTTTTCCTGGGCTTCATTATTCAGTTATTTCTTTTTTTAGCAATGACATCTCTAATCTTCGGAGTTTATTTGAGAGTATAAAAGAAATCCAATTTATTTTTCTTCTAAGTTTGGTCAATAGTATTATTGGCTAAATATCTCTTTTCCTTACTGATTTAGAATACCACCTTTACTGAGCACTGCATTTCCAGTTTGCTTAGCTGTGTTTCTGGACTCTATGATTTGTCCCAATAAGCTCTTTGCTTACACTGGTGATCTTTAGTTTCTGTGGCTTTCTGAATATCAAACTATATGGTTGGGAGTATCTTCCTGCCTCTTATTGCTTGTCATTTTCAAAAGTGTCTTAGATGGTTTCAAACATTTAAAGTTCTAGATTGGCTTTAGAATCCTTTTGATCAGTTTCTTCAAGAAAAAAATACTACTAGGATTTTAACTGGGATTGGGATTGTGTTCAATATAAATGGAACTTGGAAAACTCGGTATCTTTAAAATATTGAATCTTTCCATCCAGGATGATGTCTCTGTGTAGCCTTCTTAAAATTTCCCTGAATTTAATTTTACAGTTCTTTTTTCATACAGGTTTTGCATAGTTTTGTGAAATTTATTCCTAGGTTTACCTATTTATTCAGCAATATTCATCGAGGACTTCTTATATCCTGGGCATTGTTCTAGGCTCTTGAGACAAAGCAGTGAGCAAAACAAAGTGCCTGATCTTGGGAAGCCCATATTCTAGAGAGCAGAAAAAGTCAATAAACAAAAACAATGGTAAATTTCAGATGGTCATAAGTGCCGTGAAGACAAAAGCAGGTGAGGAAACAGTGAGTGGTAGAGTGTGGGAGCTATGGCCTTTAAGGTGGCCAGTGAAGTCCTCTCTGCTACAGTGATTTATGTAGAGGCCCAAAGAAAGTAAGTGACTGAGCCAGGCAGGTGTCTTGGGGAAGAATGTTTTAGGCAGAGGGAATAGAAAGCACAAAGGCCCTGAGGCTAGAGTATGTCTGCCATGCAGGAGGAACAGCACGGGGGCCAGTGTTTCTCAAGTGGAGTGACTGGAAATAAAGAATAGAAATATTGGGGTCAGAGAGGGGGCCAGAAGGGAAATCCTTTACAGCCTGATAGGCTGAGAGGAGGACTTAAGATTTTACCCTAAATAAGGTGGGAGCCACTGGAGGACTTTGAGCAGAGGAATAATGTGATTTGGCCCATATTTTAGGTCATGAAGAATAGCTGCTGTGTGGGCAATAGCTGGGGCACAAGAGTGGAGGACTTGATCCCCTTTTACAGTTAGGAGATCAGTTAGGCTGCTACTGAGATAGTCTGTGTGAGAGCTGATGGTGGCTTGGACCAAGGTGGTATCAATAGTCGTAGAAAGGAATAATCAGAATCTGGATATATGTTTACGATAAAGCCGATAGATATGATGGTGGGAGAAAGAGATAGGGTCATTAACTGAGATAAGGGAGACTGCAGAAGAAACAGGCATGGGAGTGGAGGAGTTGTAGTGGGTTGTAACTGAGCAGGGCCCTGTGGGGTCTTCCTGGGACAGACCCCTTCCCCATATCCTCTGCTTCAGCTCCTCTCTGAAGCATCCAGATAATACTATGTGATGCACATTATTGAGTTGTTTTACAGATGCTAAAACCACCACTAAATGGAAGAAATTAACTACTTGACCATGAGACGTAGCCCCCAGACCTACCAGCACCTAAGGATTGATAATGTTAACTCCTGTGACACTGCCCTATTACCTCACCATTAACCAATTAGAGAACCGTGCATGAGCTGATCACATATCCGGGGACTCCCCTCCCTCACCTGGCCTCTAAAACACTTTCCTGAAACTCATGGAGGAGTTTGGGCTTTTTCAACACTAGCTGTCCTGGACTCCTTGTATGGCATTCTAGAATAAATGCTGCACTTTACCACAACCCAGTGTCAATTGATTGGCTTTACTGCATGTGGGTGAGTGGACCCAAGTTTGGTTCAGTATCAGGATGAATTTTGTTTTGGATATGGTTAGTTTGAGATGCCTCTTAAGTATCCACGGGGCATGTTGAGTAGGTAACTGGAGATAAAAGGGAAAAGAAAGAGGCGAAGTGTTTTCTATTTTAATAGCTATTGGGTACAGGGTTGTATTTTCTAACTGGTTATTGCTAACATATAGACATAATAGTTAGCTTTTGCTGTGTAATAAAAGACCACCACACTTTAGTGGCATGCAGCAGTAATTACTAATTTCATGTCTCTGAGCTTCAGCTCGGTTTAACTGAACTGCTGTGCTGATCTTGTCCAGGCTCACTTGTATATCTGCAGGTTTGTAGTAGTTGGTTAATCTAGGTTGGGCCTGAATGGAGCATTCTAGCTCTCCTACATACCTGAGACCAGTAGGATAATCCAGAAATATTCTTCTTACGGTAGCAAAGGAAGTGTAAGAGTAAGTCCAATGCTTAGATTCATCTCAAGCCTCTGCTTGCCTCACTTCTGCCTACATACCACTGCCAAAGAAAGCCGTAGGGCTGATCAAAGAGTAAAACAGGTCACCTTGCCCACAGTGAAAGGACATCCAGCAGTCACATGGGAAAGAACATAGATATGGGGAGGAGTGAGGTACTAGGGCCAAATGATGCAATCCAACATAATAGAAGAGTTATTAATATTTGCGTCTTTATCTTGTACCCACCAGCTAACTACTGAAACTGCTTATTCTAATGATTTTCGGTTGATTCTCTCCCTTTTTTTTTTCCTTGAGTAGATGTTTTCACCTGAAAATAATAATCCTCTAGTCCAGGGATCAGCAAATTTTTCTTAAATGTCCAGTTAGTGAATATTTCAGTCTTTGTAGGTCATATGGTCTCTGTCAGAACTCCTCAATTCTGTTGCTATTGCGGGAAAGTAGCTATAGACATTATGTACATTAATGGGTGTGGCTTTGTCTCAATAAAACTTCATTTAAGAAAAAATAAGCTGCCAGACCAAGTTTGCTGCTCTAATCAGTTCCTGTAAAATACTATGTCTTATTTCTTTTTGTTGTTATTTCATAGCTAGAAACAAGGAAATGCAGTTGTGGTCAAAGCAAGCCATGTGGTCATTTTCTTCACTTTACAAGGAATGCTGTCAGTGTTTTCCATTTAAATGTTTGCTATTGATTTCATAACAGGGAGTAATTTTCAATGTCTAGTTTACTAAGTTTTTATTAGAAATACTTGCTGAATTTTATCAAATGCCTTTTTAAGTTCCTGTCAGGACCATGAGTTGTATCTTTTCACTAATATATGTGATAAATTGTTTTAATAGATTACCAAATGTTGAATCATCCTTACATTCCTGGAATAAGTTCTATTTGGTCATACTACATTACCATTTTAATACATTGCTGGATTCAATCTGCTATTCCTTTATCTTGAATTTTTTTATTTGTAATGCACACTGGAGGTCTTCCTAGGCTTAGGCATCCATTCAGACTCACAAAACTGTCCTAGGTTACACTCAGTACCTGTTTACTCCAAAGGGTAGAGGATGGGCATAACTTACAGGAGGGCAGTGTTAGTTGCTTCTCTTGGTGGGAGTGGTCCTCACAGTCACCCAGGAGCCATTCCTATAACCCGCCAGATGAGATGGCTCAGGTGTGAAGAATGAAGACTTCCATTGGGAGGGGGTAGGATGGTAGTGGCTTAAAGGCCTGTGTCCATAGAAGCAAATGTCTCTTGGAAGAGGTCCATAGGTGGGGCTTCCAAGTCCCCTGCATTCAGAGGAGCCCAAGGCTGTGGCGTCTCCATGAGGAATCTGTAGTTCACTTATCTTCCTCCCAGTCCAGACACCCTCTGCCAAGCAGGCCCACTTGATATTTTACCTTCATCTGGTTTCCAGAGACACAGAACTAAAAAATTAATGGAAAGGCCAAATTCTCTTTCAGAAGGGGATGTGATTGTGTTAACACATTACATACATGATCTACATCCATAGTGATTTCATTCTTAATTTTCCCTTTTTGTGGCTTTCTTTTTCAGGTTTTGGTCGGGATTATGTTATCCTCATAAAGTGAGCTAAGAAGCCTTCCACCTTTCTCTATACTTTGGAGTTTAATTAGTATGAATATTTTCGGTGTTCCCTCACTCCTCTATGGAAAGCAGGGGATTTTTTCCTGTCTATTTTCACAAACCCAGTGACAACAGTGCCTAGGACACAGCAGTTAGAATTTCTGCTATCCTCTCCATGCTACCCAGAGAGAGGGGCCGAAGGCATTGTTCTGGGTTCCTGTCCTGACTTTAAGGGAAACTTTTACAATGTCTGGAGCTCTTGGTGTCCTGAAATGAAGGAGGGGGATGTCCTCAAATCCCTTGCAGTGGAAACCCACTTAGTGACACCAGCCTTGACCTTCAAGTGGAACAGTATGTTCACACAATGAAAAGCATCCACCATCTCCCGGGAGAAGCTTCAGCTAGCACCTCATGCCATTGTTGCCTTTGCATATCCCGCTGCTGTCATGTCATATCCTCCAGGAATACCAGCCGGTGGGCTGTGCTGAAGGTTGCTCCAGCCACTGGGGCCAGTGCTATTGCTGGCTGCTCCGCTCCTGGAAACTTCAGCGACCAGATCCAGGCAGCCTCTGGGAACTGTGACTGCCGGTGGTTACTGACCCTAAGGCCAGCTACCCGCCTCTCATAGAGTCACCTAATGTTAACTCACCTCCCATTGTTCTGTGTAGCATAGATTTCCTCTGCACCTGTGAACAAGGCCATCCTGCATAGCAGCCACGGGGCTCTCCCTCTGTGGGTCTGATAATAGGGGATGCTAGCCGGGGAAGTTCTGCGCCTGCGCAGCTCCATCTCCCATGAGCCCCCGCGTGAGCTCTCCTTATACGCAGACGCTGAAGACACGGAGGAGACCAGCAGGCCGCTGCTGAAAGGCTGTGACCAAGGAGGAGCTTCAGGGTGAACGGACTGCTCCAGCTGCAGAACTTACGACCTTATGGCTCCTCAGTCTGACTGGGCTGCAGGCAGATGGCTTCTGCCCTAGTCAGCGGTTCTCACCTCAAGACTGAGCCAGCCCGCCTCAGAGGCCGGCCCTGCAGGCCATGGGTAGGGACGTCCATCGAGTTTCCTTAAGCTGTTCTATCATGGACTCTTCAACAGAAAATGCAGGTAAGGCTGACAGAAAATAAACCACTTCTTTAAGAAGAAAAAAAAAAGAATATTTACTGAATAATATTCTCATAGAACTTGTCCATAAAATCTGAATCTGATGACTTTTGGAGGTTAATGCTTTGGCATTTTCTGTTTTTTATCTTTTTAGTGCTGTCTTAGGTTTTTTACATCTTGATCTTTTTAATGTACATTTTCCTAGAAATTGATCCGAGATTTGTGCTAACAAAGTAGTGTTATTGTTCGTTTTACCCACATTTTCTCTTTGATAAAACGTACAAGAAATTTGTATATTTGATTATTTTCAGTCAAGTTGCACTTCTGTTTATCAATACAGTGAATGATTTTTCTTACCGTTCTAATTTAGGAAAAATGCTAAATTTAGGTTAGTAATTATTGCCTTTATTAATTCCTTCTCCTTACTCAATTTATTTTATTGTTTGTCTTCCTGCTCCTTGAGTCATATGTTTGCTTTATTTTTTTAAACAAATAGTAGCTCCAATTATTGAGTACACTGTATGGCAGGCATAATGCTACATGTTTTATTTGCCTTGTCTCCGTGAACACTTGTAACATCCCATAAGGCCTCTTAAGAAGTCTTTAGAGCAGAGTGGCTGAGTGCAGACTCGAGCTACAGTTGCTGCCGTTTATACCTTTGTGATCTTGTGCTTCTATTTCCTCATCTGTAAAATGGAATAATCATATTATCCACGTTATAGGCGATAAATAAATTCATACACACAAAAGCCCCTAGGACAGTGTCTGGCACATAATTTGCATCCTGGAAGTAGTTGACATTATTATTTAAAGATGGAGCATTAAAGCTTTATGAAGTTAAGTAACTTGTCCAGGATCACATTACTAGATAAGAAACCACTCTTTTGAACACATTCTGAGGAGCCTTGCATAGATTTTGGTATGTAGTTTGCTCATTCTCATTAATTTCTTAATGATCTGTCATTTCAGTTTCAGTTTCTTCCTTGATGAAGTTTCTATTGTTTTTTCCTCTGTATGAAACCTTTTTGTTTCTTCCTATCTGCATGATCTTCATCCTTGAAACTCAGAAATTTCACCAGAATTTGTCTAATGTGGGTATTTTTTTTTATTCCTGACTAGCACATAGCTCATTTGATCGTAAGATCATAATCTTTCTTCCAGTTAAAATCTTTTCTGTTGTTTTTTTTTGATCTCTAACCTTTGTTTTTTCTTCTCTTAAAATTCCTATTGTACATATGTTGAAATGTCCTAACCTTTTTTTTTCCTTCATGCTTCTGTTTTTCCCTTAAATTTCTTATCATTGTTTTTGCTTCTGATTTCTGGAGGAACTTTTGGATTGGCCCCTTTAAGTCCCAATTCATTTATCTCCAGAATCCAGTCTGTTGTTTAACTGTGTCTATTGAGGGCTTTTATTTCCCCCACCAATGGACATTTTAATTTAAAATTTTCAATGTGCACTCCAAAAAGTATGTAATAAGCTCATGAAGTCCGTCTTGCACCATTTTTGTAAAAAATGATTAAAAATTCCACCAAAACTTTAATTGCTATTAAATTTCTTCTACCTTGGATACAACCATCCAATTTCTCTTTCTCCAAAATCTGACACCTACTGCGAGACCCTAAATCAGTTTTTTGGTTCAGGCTACTTTCCCCCATACTTTACCTGTTTCTTTCCATCTTTGTTGATCGTTAATGAAGTATTTATTTTAGAACAATTTAAGATTTACAAAACAATCATGAATATAGCGCAGAAAGTTCTCATATACCCCACATCTAATTTCCCCAGCTATTAACATCTTACATTTGTTACACATGGTATATTTGTTACAACTGATGAACCAGCATTGATACATTATTATTAATGAAAATCTATACCTTATTCAGATTTTCTTAGTTTTCACTTAATGTCCTCTTTCTGTTCCAGGATCTCATCCAGGACACCTCATTATTAATGTTTAGTCATGTCTCTTTAGGCTCTTCTTGGCTATGACAGTCCTCACTTTTCTTGTTTTTGATGACCTTGACAGTTTTGAGGAGTACTTGTCAGGTATTTTGTAGAATGTCCCTCAAACTGAGATTTGTCTTATTTTTTTTCATGATTACACTGAGGTTGTGTGTTTTGGGAGGAAGACCACGGAAGTAAAGTGTTATTTTCATCACATTGTATCTATGATACATGCATCAGTGTGACTTAGCCCTGTTGATGCTGACTTGACCATCTGGCTGAGGTAGCGTTTGTTAGGTTTCTTACTGTAGTATTACTCTTTTTCCCTCTTTCCATACTGTGCTGTTTGGAAGGGAGTCACCGTACATTGCCCACTCTTAAGGAGTGGGGAGTTATGTTCCATTTCCTTGAAGCTGAGTATCTGCATAAGTTATTTGGATTCTTCTGCATGGGAGGTTTATCTCCTTATTTATATATCTCAGTATGGACTCGTGAATATTTACTTTACACTTTGGGTTATAATCCAATATTGCTTTATTTATTTTGTTGCTCAAATTCTTCCAGCTTTGGCCACTTGGGAGCTGTTTTAATTGTCTTCTGTGTCCCTTTTGACCCCATCAATGCGGCCTTTTTTTGTTTTTGTATTTTGAGTGCTGTATTACTTTCTGGTTCTATAAGATTTTCCAGGCTCATCTTGTCTATTTGCTTCTCCAGTCCTAGGATCAGCCATTTCTCCAAAGAGTACTGATTCCTTTTACTGGGAAGTGGAATTAGAAAGCAAGATGGAAGCTAGCTGTGCTCAGTGCTACTGGGCTTTTTTCCAGGTGTGCAATTATATTTTCTATTTTTAAGAATTGTTGCATATTGTTTCCTTTCCCTAACAGCCTTCTGTGAGAATAAGAATTATAAAAAAAAAATACACACAGGAAACATGAGGGAGAAGAACTCTGTTATTAAGTGCTTTTACACTCAGGATGATTTGCTCTGAATGTTCCATTTAAACCACTGAGCATTTTTATATAGCTGGTAATTTTTTGCTCTGCTGATGCATATGGATGGCTTTTCAGAAAGATAATCAGGATTGGTAGCTGAGATGGGTCCCAACAGAGACTTTGTAAGCCAATGTAATTTTTCTGTCCTTAACAAAAACAGAAGACAAACAGATGGATACTTTTTTCTTTAGCAGTTTAGAGATTGAATAGTTTGTCCAGGACAGGGATGGCACTGTAAGCAGGGCTGAGAGCTGCTTGGGTGGGGTTTCACCTTAGCTCAAGAGCAAAGTCTCCTTGTCTTGGAAGTTGGACATCAGCTGGCAGAGTCTCTCTCTAGGTGGCATCTTGCTCATCACTGACCTCACAGAGTCTTCTCTGAATACGAGCCCTGCCCTCTGCAGCCTCAAGGATGCAGATTATAAGCGAGGTGACTGGACTTCACTCCCCTTGTTCTCTAGCACCTGCCATAGGTACTTTAGGTAGAATACTCAAAAAAAAGTTGAATTTCATCTCTGCTCACTGCTTTTTCTGTAGCCTGCTCTGTCTCTAGCTCCCGGATGGGGTTTCATGAATGGCGATCCCTTCAATTACCCCCAGGGGAACTTCCTTTCATGATGTGGTAGCTGATCAGCCCTCCCCTCACTCTGCTCCTCCCTGTGCCATTCCAAACTGAAACCTCATCCAGATGACAGGGTTGGTGTACTAATTATTTACTGATGTGTGACAAATTACTCCAAAAGTTAGCAGCTTAAAACAACACATTTATTTTCTCAGTTTCTGTCTGTCAGGAATCCAGGCATGGCTTAGCTGGGTCTTCTACTTCCAGGTCTCTCACAAGGTTACAATCAAGTGTCAGCAAAGGCTTGTGTGCTCCCATCCAAAGACTCGGTTGTGGGAAGGATCTGTCTTGAAGCCGACATGGTTTGGGCAGGATTCAGTTCCTCAGGGGTTGTTGTACTGAAGATGTTTGTTCACCTCTTGCTTGAGGCTGCTCTCAGTTCTTGTTCCTTGGGTCTCTCCAGTACAGCAGCTGGCTTCACCCAAGTGGCCAATAGAGAGCTAACAAAATGAAAGCACAATCTTTTACAACCTAATTACAGAAAAGACACCCCATCACTAGGTCCAGCTCCCACTCAAGGGTAAAAGTTTATACGAGAACATAAATAACGGGAGACAGGATCATTGGGGCCATCTTAGAAGTTGACCTACCACATGTAAGGATGAGACCCTACTCCCATCTCCAGTTGGGATACATAATTTTTCATCTGGTATGGTTGGATTTTTTCTGTAGGATGTTGGGAAAGAACACATGTAAGACAAGTGGGCTTAAGACACTGCCTTAGTTCTGGATACCATGAACTTGAGTTTGAAATTATGGAAAGAGCTTTAGATGAAAGTGTTCAGTCAGTTGTTGCTCAATAATCATTCTTTTAGCACTTTCTATAAGCCAGCTCTTAAGTTAGATTTTCTATATACACTATCTCACTTTGAACCAGTTCTTTGAGGAAGGCATTACTACCTGGAATTTTTGAATGAAGAAGTTGGCATATAGAGAAGTGAGGTTACTTTCCAATGTCTGAGCATCCCAGTACCCTCAGCAGCTCCCTCCCCACCCCAGGATTGGCTGACTCATCCAGCTGCAGCCTCTGTCTCAAAGGGGGCAGGGCTCTGAGTATCAGCACTTTAGGACTGTAGTAGAATTCACTTCCTACACACCCTCTCAAGTCTGTTAACTCTATCTAGTTGGCCCCAAATGCAAACTGTTGGCTTCTGTCTCTGTTTCTACCTCTCCATCCTGCTCCCTTGGATGGAATGCATCAAAATGACTGTCTCCTTGGTTCCTTACTGAGTCTCCTCATAATCATGGCAAGCCCTGCTCCTCCATGGCTAATGACAGGTCGCAGGAACCCAGCCCAACTTAGAGGGCAGGTTTCTCACCACACACTCCCCAGCCCACTGGACTACGTAGACCTCCAGGGTCACTCAGCTAGTGAGAGGCAGAGCCAGGAGTCAACCCATGCTCTTTGTGTTATCTCATTCTGCCTCTCAGGTTGACCATTAAAGTG